ACCGTCACTCTGCTGCTGCTGTCCACCGTTGTGGCTGAGCCTCGGCTGTACAGAATGGATACTAGATACAGTCCTGTGGTAGACAGAATTTCTAAAATTTCCCCCCAAGGGATGTCCTTCCCTAATCTCCAGACCCTTTGAATATGATGAGACATCACTCCTGTGAGTATGCTGTTGTATATGTCACTGTGGACCTGAGATAGGGCGGTTCCGGGGGTGGGCCTGGTCTAATCCCACGAGCCCTTAGTGCAGAGAGCTTTCTCAGGCTGGCAGTTTGGGGGATGTCAAAGAGATCCCAAGCACCGAGCCAGACTCCATGCCTGGTTTTGAAGATGGAGGGCAACCCCTGCCCAATAGCCAGTGAGGAACTGAGGCCTCGGTCTGTAGCCACATGGAACTGAATTCTGCCAACCACCTGCATGAGGTTGGAAGTGGACTCTTTCCCAAGGTCTCCAGGTAAGAGCCACATGTAGCCAGCCTTCTGAATTTGGCCTTTCAGTACCTTGGGCTTAGAGCCCAGTGGAGCCCACCCAGACATCTCACCTTTGGAACTGTGGGCCTAACAAGTAGGGGTGGCTTGAAGCCACTAGGCTTGTGGCAGTTTGTCATGCAGTCATAGAAAATGAGCACAGGGCCCTCCCCTTGGGCTCCACGTGGCTCTCCCAGTTTTCTTAGAGACCAGCTTAGTGGTTTGCTCTGGTTATTCCAAGCCCTTGCCCATGATAAGTGGGCCCTGAGAGTTGCCCCATCTGTTGTCAAACCTGTCCTTTGTCTCTGCAAAGTCCGAGCTCCCAGCCCATGGATGAGCTCACCTGAAGACAGTGGCTGGAGCCATAATGGATGTCTTCAAGGAGAATCTGGGGCACCAGCTGAAGGGTACTGGCTTCCTCACTGGGGCAGAGGAGTGTGGACATGCCTCAGACACGCCTGGTGGGCTCTTGGCTTAGGCAGCCTTCCAGCTTTCTGATCATGGTTGGGCTATTTATTTATTTATTTACCCTTTCTTACCTGTTGCTCACCTTAGATGTCACCTTGGTTCTCCTTAGCAGGACTGGTCCTCAGGCAGCATTGGCTGAAGCTTGTTGGGGTGAAGTTGGCAAAGAGATAAAAACAGTGACCTGGTAGGCATGTGACGAGAAGCCAGAGTCTCATAAATCCTGTCTGAACCTGTCAGAACATGAGAGGGAGCCCAAGGCAATGGCTCTTCCTCTAGGTGTGAGGACCTCATTGCTCAAGGTGAGCCTGCCTCTGAGGAATGATTGACAGGCATGAGCTGGCATCTTCCTTGAGACAGGATGCTTGACTCGGCTCCATGTGATGGATGGCAGGCTGGGGAAAGCCAGTGCTGGAGGCTCCGGGGCTTCAGCCTGGGTTTCCTGAACAACCTGTGCATCTGTTATGCAAGGGCAGGGGCAGGGGAAAGGCAGGCTTCTGAAAAGGGGCCACCTTCATTTTCCAGGTATGAACAGCCCTGTCCCCAAAGAAGTGCTAACACATGTGGGCAGAGAAGGACCAGAGAGCCATGGCAAGCAGTGGGTGTATAGACAGGACAGGGAACTGTGGTTCCTGAAAAATCAGCTGTGGGTCTGTGAGAAGGAGACCCGGCTAAGAGCCAGGAGGAAGACAGCAGCTTCCAGGGGGGTCGTAAGGCCCATATGGAGATCAGCTGACTTCTCTATACCCTGTAGGGGTCACTGGTGCCTGGAGGGAGGAAGGGCTCTAATGGGCTCTGGTGGGTCACCATTGTCTCTGAGTCTTTTGCTGGTGGCTGTAGGCCCTGGTTGTGGTGGGACAGTACCCGGGAGGCTGCTGGCCCCCTGGCACAGGAGGACAAGTAGGCAGCTGGTTGCTGGCTTTGGACATCACTGGGTGGCGGTGCTGGGGGGCTGGGTTCCCTCAGAGGCAGGAGGACTTGGGAGAAGGGAGTGCTGATGGTCTCACCTCCCAGCTGGTTAACTCCCTCCCTGGGGATCCTTGGACTTGGGGTGGTGCCATTTGAACCATTACTAATTAGTTAATGAGGAAGGTGAGTGATCGTAAATCAGCATCACAAAGAAGCATGATCTTGTGGCATTTTAAACCAGCCTTGTGCCTACTTCCCCAAGAGTTTGTGAAGTCATCTTTTGGTGCTACAACGACAGATCAGAAGGACCTGAAATTGATGCTGATCAGTCTCTTTCCCATAACAGAGCTTTAGATCTGTGCCTGCCCAGCAGGGCACAGGTCAGGCTGGAGGAAGGAGCAGGTACCAGGGAGGTGGGAGGCTAAGGGCTGGCTACCACCTGGCCTTGACTTTGTAAGTTGTCCCATCCCTGGTCCCCTGACTCCTCCTCTATGAAAATAGGAGGTTGGACTTGTTGATTGTCACGATCTCTTCTGGCTCCAATACCCCAAATTTCTAACTCTGTGAAACGCACTGTGATTTTCTCTCTTGAGATTGTTCATATGCTGGGACTCAAGAGTTTGGCTCATCTGCAGACAGCACGCTGGTAGATTTGACATTGTCCTCACCTCGCCTGACCTTGGTGTTAGACCCCTGCAGGGTGATCTGCCCTCTGTCTCCTGAGACATTTGCCTACTCGAATGCTCCATGTACCCTGCAAACACAGTCCATGGCGGTAGTGACTGCAGGGAGGGGTGCCTACGGTATTACATACAGAGAGACATGTGTTAAGAGGAAGACATAAATAATTAGAAATCTCTTGATGGTAGGGCCAGCTCCAGTGGTTAATCAGAGCCAGATTCTCCCGCCACATCCATAACAAAGACTCCCCATCACTTGCCCCAGTTAGCTGCTGCTGTCTCTCACTTTTCCTTGTCCTTGATTTTTAGAAAGAAAAGTTTTAAGATGATTCGGTCCCAGTCCCTGTCTCTACAAATGCCGACGCAGCAAGATTGGAAGGGCCCCCCGACAGCCAGTCCGGCCATGTCTCCCACAACCCCCGTGGTCCCCGGATCCACTTCCCAGCCTCCACCCGCGCCCTATGCCATGCCCGAGTTCCAGCGGGTCACCATCAGCGGAGATTACTGTGCTGGGGTAAGGTGTCTCCCACTCCCCGCGCTCTGCGGGCACCCCTGGGAGCCGTGTGAGTGTTGTATGTACCTTGTGCAGAAGCCAAGGTCCCCTGGGGTCGTGCCCAGCCCTGAATCCTGGCCTGGGGGTGTCTGGGAGGTGGCAGGCAGGAGGCACAGGAGTCTGCAGAGAAGGAGGGCTCCAGGCGAGGCAGTGGGTGTGGGTGTGTGTCTGGGACACTGCCCTCCCTGAGTGGAGGGCCTAGAGCTGTGGGCTGGCACATGGGCTGCACCCTGTAGGCTCCATATGTTCTCTGGGCCCAGAACGCTGCTCTCTGTCCCTGTAGCCCACTGAGGGTGGTTCCAGCTTGGGTCCCTTAGTATACCCACACGTTGAATGGATTCAAGTCCTGGTGTTGATTGCTTTGCATGGAACCAGCTATTGCTGACTCAGCTCTTCCTGTGTGCTCCGTATCCTTAAAACAGGCTAGCCCCTGACCTGGGCAGCTGGTGCCCAGAGAGCTACGGGTCCACGAGAGGCAGGCTGACCCTGTCGATCGTCTTGCCCTGGTGGGTGTGCTGCCGGGCATGAGGCCTGCGGTGCTTACGAGCTGGCTGGTCCGCTGGGGCACTGAGCACGTCTCCAGGACCTTCAGCTGTGGCCTGAGCCCCTCTCCATGCTGTCAGCAGTGTTTGGCTGTGTCATTGGTAGGGACATTTTTGTCTATGGTATTGTCTGATCACCTCTTCCTGCTGCTCTCAAAAGCCATCCATTAGAAGGTGTAAAATGAGATTAACATTCTCTCATGGGGACACCTGGAGTCAGAAAAGAAGATACTTCTTTAATAAGAAGCAAGGACAAAAAAAAGTAAAAGTATAAAAGCATGCATGGAAAAGATACATACCAACGTCCTTCCTCTGAGGATGGAGTGGGGCGGAGGAGGGAGGGGGTGGAGTTATTGGCTGTATCTGAGACGGTTTGTTTTTTCAAACATAGAAGAGATGTGAAACAATGATGAAAAATATTAATTGTTAGCTCTGAAAGGTAGATACATCCCAGTTTATCATATTATCTTCACTGCTTGTCTGTATGTTTAAAACATTTCAAAACTAAAAATTTTTTTTTTTAACTAAAGCAGAGGAGACAGCCGCCCTCCCCACTCCGTGCTCCCTCTTGTTTCTCCCTCTGCTGCATCTCTTATCCCCTCATGAATGGCTGTCCAGCTGCTTGTCTTCCCCAGCATGTTCAGATTTCTGCCACATACATCCTTCCCAAAGATGAATGAGTCCACTGGAAGGTGGGGATTTATCTATTTCGTCTCTGAGTGCGAGGCAGCTCCGGGAAGGCAGAGCATCCTTGGGCTTTGGGAATCAACCAGATGAGGGTCTGAAATTTGATTTTGTGGCTTCCTGTCTTCCTGTGATTTATCCTCTCTGGGTTCTCCATTTCCCCAGTTGTAGAATGGGTTGCAGTGAGGACCAAAATGAAATCTGCAGGAAGGATCTGACCCATAACACGTAAGCACTTGTTGACCGGGTGAATTGGGGTGATTACCAGATGAATCAGAAGCTTGGGGTTGGCAGAGCAGCAGACTGAGCACCCAGAAGTTTTTATCTTTACCTCCGAAGGACCCGTGTGTTTTCTCAACTGACAAGAATGGTGTTCACCCCCACCAGGGATACGGCTTTGCCTCTTCCTGTCCTGGTGCAGCTGCAGCTGGCTTGTGGTTTAATCACAGCACAGAGGTTGGCCCAGGACCTTCCTCCCTCCCCGTGGCCCCGACTCTCCTCCTGTGTTGAGGGTCCCCAAGACCACCACCGGGTTCAATGGGTTGCTAGGACTCCTAGGACTCAGCACACAGCTCTACTCACGACTAGGATTTAGTACAGTGAAAAGATGCAGAGCAAAGTCAGCACAGGAGGAGGTACACAGGGTGGAGTCTGGAGGAGGCCAGCGGCAGGCTTCCCAGGGGCCCCTCCCAGTGGCGTCACCAGAACACCCTTAATTCCTTCAACATCGAATTGTGACAGCACATGTGCAATATCCTACCATGGAAGCTCATTAGAGACTCGGCGCCCAGGGGTTTACTGGGGCTGGCTGCACATCTGCAGAGCATATCACCCAATTCCAGGTTCCAAAAAGGAAATCAGGTGTTCAGCATAAACCATGTGTTTGTACAAACCTTTCAGGTCCAGTGAGCTGCTGTGCCCACTGTGGTGGGAATACTCCTCAGACCCGAGTTGCCGGCTGCCAGCCAAGGGCCAGCCTCGCAGCAGATCTTGCTAAGACAGTGGTCTCAGGCCTGCTAGGTGAACTCTGTTCTGCGTGCCCTCTTCTGCAGATCACTGTGGAGGACTACGAGCAGGCTGCCAAGAGCCTGGCCAAGGCCCTGATGATCCGGGAGAAGTATGCCCGGCTCGCCTATCACCGCTTCCCGCGGACCACAGCCCAGTACCTGGGTCATCGGCGGGTGGACGCTGCACCCCTGGAAGAGGGCCTCCCAGGTAGGGCACCGTGGCTGCGAGTGGGGTACCAAGCGCAGCTCGGCCGAGGAAGTGGTCCGGACTTTTTCCTGGCTGCATTATTTCCCCCAGATGGTGTAGCATCTCATATAATACTATGCTGGTACTGGTTCTCCCACATGTTTGTGTGCTGGGTACCTTGCCCTAGGTAGAGCTGAGCTGTAGAAGTTGAGAGAGAGGTGAAAGACAGTCCCTGATCTTGGGAGTCCCCCAGGAAGACAGGCAGTCTCATGCTGGATCTTTAAAACAGCACAATCAGACAGTAAATGCCGAATCAGTGGTGGGGTGGGAGGAGTGGAGATGGGTACAGAGGGTGTGTTCTGGGGCCTAGGAAGTCGACTCTGGAGTCACATACCTGCACCCTGATCTAAGTTCTGCCACTTTCTTGGGCAAAGAAGGTATTTCTCCAAATCTCAGTTTCTCGATCTGTGAAATGGGAATATAATAATATCCATCTCTTGGGCTGAAACAAGAGAATGCACACGAAGTGGTTAGCATGGTCTGGCATCTCATGAGTGTTCAGTAAGTGGCAGCTATGTTGATGCTGTGGATTCTGGGGAAGGGGAGATCGGAGAAGGCAGAATCATTTCTGGTGGAGTCTGTTTGGCCTGTGAAGGACCCAGGAGCAGTAGAGGCTGTAAGTTAAGTAACATGAATGAAGACAACAGGAAATCTCATTCTGGAAAGCTGGTAATGGGGGATCAGGTGAGGGCCCAGTGGTCTGTGCTGGTGCCTAGGACCTGGCTGCCCCCTGGGTGGAGTTGGTCCCAAGGTATCTCCTGTCTCTGGCTTCCTTGAAGCTCTGAGACCTGGACTTGGAGCATCTGTCACCCCCTGGGGCCCATTTCCCTGTCTGTCTGAGGGAAGTTGGTCCCACCTGCCCCAGTGTTGGCAAGGGCAGGCAGGAATGTCAAATGTGCACTTTGTACAAAACGGCGTTCCCCAGGGGGCCTTGGCACGAATGTGGTGAGTGGAAACTGGCTTCACCCAAGTCTCTGTGCTGCCTGTGTCTCTCAGTCTCCAGCACATGTAGGGGCTCCTGAGCCAGCCCGTGACCATGCCTGATGAGGGGACATCAGCTCCCAGCTTTGTGCTGCTCCAGCCCCCGTGACACCTCGTGTCTGCTCTGGGGGAAGTCTGCTTTGAACACTGATGGGGGATGCCCAGGCAGTCACCCCACTTGGTTCCTTCCTTTGATGAAGATTCCAGGGTTTCCTCTGCCTGGGTGGGCAGCTGGACCCTGTGTAGGGCTGGCTGATGTGCAGAGTTGAAGCCCCCAGTCCTACTGCTGTTTAGCATAACCCGTTCCCTGGCCAGAGCAGAACTTATCGGGTCAGGAAAACCCATGATGAGAGTAATGGGGATGATGCCCTTTGGTTCATTCCTGTTTACAAAGCATTTTCCTCTACCCGCTACGGCCGCCCGCACAACAGCTGGTGGAGGCTGGGGTGTCTCCCTCGGCTGAGCAGACAGCTTTGGGAGTTGGAGTGGTCGGCTCAAGTCTCGTAGCTGGGAAGCAGGCAGGAGGCGTTTCCTGCCTCCTGTGGGGACAGACAGCTCAGTCTCGGGGGCAGACACGCTCTCTGTCCCGTGCTTGTTGGTGGGGGTGGCTCCCTCACCTAGCCCCCTGGCCGCCCTGGGCTCAGGAAGGTGTGGGGAGACAGGGAGCTATTCCCACTGGGCCGTCCCAGGCCGTCTCTTATAGAAGATGCGGGTACCTTTTTTACACCTCTTGTCCCTGAAGTAGCTGGGAGGCTGAAGCTCATTTCAGTTAAATTTTATAAATGTCTTGAAGTGCCAGCCATGGGCCAGGATCTGTTGTAGGAAATGGGGATTCAGCAGTGAACAAAATGAACATGTACTACCCAAGATAAATAAGAGAAGTTATTTTACGTAGTGGTAGATGCTAAGGAGACAAAGCAGGGAAGGGGATGTGAGATGTCGGGGCGGGTGGGGGTGGTTGCGTTTTAGATCAGACCACCAGGACTGGCCTCACGGAGAATGTGACTTTTGAGCCCCTGCGAGCTCCTGAGGTGACCTTGCTGTCACTCAGTCCTGTTTTGCAGATTTCCACCCTCCACCGCTGCCCCAGGAAGACCCTTACTGCCTGGATGACACGCCCCCCAACCTGGGCTACCTGGTCCGCATGCAGGGGGGCATCCCCTTCGTGTATGACAACAAGAGGATGCTGGAGCACCAGGAGCCCCACAGCTTGCCCTACCCCGACCTGGAGACCTACACGGTGGACATGAGCCACATCCTGGCTCTCATCACCGACGGCCCCACGTAAGCCAGCGTTCCCCCTCTCTTTGCCACTCCGTAGGAGGGACTGGGAAAGGCCAGCGAGGTATCCTTTTGCTCTGGGCTTTCCCTCAGTTAAGCCATCCCAGAAAGAGTGGTTTCCCCTTTCCCTAGTGCTTTGTGGGTTTCTGCAGCAATTTTCCATCGTAGGCTGGCCTGTTTTTAGAGCTGGTATGACCTGCCTGTTCTGCACTCACGGGTGTGGAGACCTGTACGCCTTGAAATGGCTGTCACCCCTCGCCCCAGGTAGGGTGGCAGCCTTGAAGAGAGTTACCAGTGCAGGGCAGCACTGCAGATGGTGGGGGCGCAATGAAGACTGTTGCTTCCTATGTTGGGTTTTCTGTGTTTCTGGAGGGGATAGTGCCTGGAGCCTGGGAACTCTGAGCCATGACCCCCATGATGCTTATGGGCTGGGCTCGCTCGAGCCAACCTGGCAGGGAGCTGTCCTGAATTTGGGCCCTCGCTTCTTGGTGGGCACTTAGGCCAGTCAGTGATGGAGGCTGGTATGCCCGGGCCCTGGGCCTCTTGGAGTGTCTGCTCTGTGAGTGCCCGGCCAGGACTGGGAGTCTGGGGAGGGAGAGCGGGCTGGTCATGGCTGAGGGGACTTCTCTCTTGCCCTGCCTTTTGGGTTTTGCTGTGAGTCGGGTGATGCCAGTTTCTCAGGGAGAAGAGCAGGCCCCAGGGGGTGAGTGGCGTGGGTCTGGGTCCTTGGTGATCTGAGGGCAGAGCTGTGACCTGGGAGGGGAAAGGGCAGTTCCCAGGAGCTTGGCTTGGCCATTGTGAGCTGGAGCTTTGAGGGGAAGCCTTGGGGACGCTGCTGTCCCAGGAGGCGTGTGAGCAGTGGCTGTTCTGTCAGGGAGGCTCTCAGGGCGAGTCCCCCTGGGGAAAGGGACTGAGTGAGATGACCTTGGGAATCCCTTCTGGCTCTGAGACTCCCGTGCTCTGCTCTGGGGCTCATCCCGGCAGACAGATGGTGGTGCTGTCCTGGGGTTGGCAGCTGCTCTTTATGAAAGTCCAAGTGACTGCATGTCAAGAAAGCTGTGTGTGTTTGGAGGCCACAAGGAAGCAGGGTGGCGTGAATCGGGGTTGAAGGTTCCGTGTGGCTGTGGGCAGAGGCATGTGGCCAGACACCTGGGCTGAGTGTGGGCGGGCAACTGACTGAGAACAGGGGGTGCTCTCACCCCCAGGGGCCTTTGCCAGCTGGTGGGGACATTAGTCCTTGCAGAGATTTGTTTTGGTAACAAACATCCCTGTGTTCCTAATCTGCCCGTGATGCAAAACATCCTCCTCTCGTCCTGAAATCTCAGAGTCGGGAGGTCTTCAGGTCTTGGGATTTGGGGGGTGCCATTTGGTCACAGGTGGTTCTCTGCAGCCAAGGTGGGCAGGTCACACCTTGGAGTTTGACTGTATTACTGATCTTCTGGGCAGAAGTTAAACTCCTTTCAAGGAATTGAAGGTGGCTGAGGATAGATGGGAGGATAGAAAGATGGAAAGGCTGAAGGAGGGAGACTTTCACTGAGCATCCACTAAGCTCAGAGCTGGACCCTTTACACACGTAAGCCAGTTTAACCCTCACTTCAGTCTTGGGCATTGTCATCTCCATATTTGTTCACGGGAGACAGAAGCTTGAGATAATTGTCTGTGCGTATAAAACTCGAAGTTTAGGAATGTATATGAGATTGCAGAATCTGCTCTCTACTGCTCCGTATCCACTCCATGCTTTTCATAGAGCACACAGACGTGGTCAGCGGTTCAGCCAGGCCTGCAGAAGGCCAGCCCCTCCGTACCCCTTGCTGCTCCATCCTGACCTTCCACCCAAGAATCAGTCCCTGCTGATGTCGGAGGTCTCCAGACTGGAGAGCTTGATGTGACCTCTCCTCAACTGTGGTTTCTTCCCTTCCCAACCTGCAGGAAAACATATTGTCACCGGCGACTGAACTTTCTGGAATCCAAGTTCAGCCTTCACGAGATGTTAAATGAAATGTCCGAGTTCAAAGAATTGAAGAGTAACCCCCACCGAGACTTCTATAATGTGAGAAAGGTGTGTTCGTGGGCCAGCGTTCAGAGTCCCTACTCCCCGGCCCCCCACCCCCCGGGATGCCCTGAGCCAGTTTGGGGCCGGTCCCCCGTGTGGCCTTCCTTAGCCAGAGGGGAGTGATGTGCAGTGTGCAGAAGACTGGCCAGTTGCCTTCCCTGCTTCAGGTGGTTCTTGGCGTGACTCTAGGTGGAAACCTTTGTCCATGTGTATCTGTTGGAATGTGCCCTCCTTGAAAAATAGGTCATGGTCTGTCAATTGGTTAAAAAAAAAGAGTTGAGGCAAGGCTACTTTTAAGGTAGAGAACTTATTAAATTTATCGTGGATCAAGAAAGCTATTAAGGCCCCTTTGACTTGGGAGTTTGTGGTTCTGTCTCCTGGTTCAGGCGTATTTAAGGAAGAGCGTCCGACGTGCCCCTGTGTCTGGGCCTCCCCTTGAGGGGATGAGCAGTCTGCAGAGGCCGCGGCTGGGGCAGACACATGGGGTAAATGACCACGGCCTCCGGCTTTTCCGTTTTCCTCCGTGTGACTCATGCGCAGCGAGCATGGGACAGTGCCAAGCGTGGGGCCTCTGATGCTGAAGAAGAGTCACTTCCTGTCCACAGGCAGTTCCCAGCCTGTTACCGTTAGTGTGGAAAGTGTGTGACAGGGCGTCTTTCAGGAAGAGGCCAGAACCGGGCTGACTGTGAGTAGGGGTTAGCCAGGCAGGGGTGGGACTGGGAGTGGAAGTGATGGCACCGCAGGCGGAGGGAGCAGCCTGTGCTCACGGCAGGCGGGGTGGGGAGAGCCCATGGGGGCGCTGACGTAACTGCTGGTGGTGCGGTGTGGCTGGAGCTCAGGGGTCGGGGGGAGGGCAGTGGTGGGTTGTGGCGAGTGAGGCTGCAGATGTGTGTGAGGTTTGGATCACGCAGGCTTGTCTCAGGAACTGGGGAGGTCGTGCAGGGGGTATGGCCGTGTCCTGGGAGAGAAGCTCCTGGGGAAAGAGTGGGGTTGGGCTTTACCTGGAGGAGGGATGGTGGGACCTGAGCTGAGTACAGTGGGGCCGTCATCACCACAGGGGCCTCTGTCCTGGATGTGACTCCCTGAGGATTGCCCCTCCCTGGGGTCAGCTTTGATAAGGGAGGGTAGGCCAGGGGAGGTTGTGTCTCCTCTGGGAAGCCCCGCTCAGGCCTTCCTGACCCCCTACTGGGAACACTCAGCAATGCTACCTGGAAGGCCTCCTCCTGGGAGGCCCCGAGCTCACCTCTGCTAAGCATCACGGGGTCCAGTGTGGGCTCCCACTTGGAGGCCACCAAGAGCCTTAAGAGTGCAAGTTAGACTTCAGCTCCTGGGCTCTGAAGCTCCTGGAGGAGTCTTGGGGATTTCTAGGCAGAGACGAAAAGACATGTGTTAGATGCCACCTATGCAGCATTTTCACCTTCTAGCACCATGTTTCTCCTCTCTGGTGCGCAGATGGGTGGGTGTCCCAGTCATTGGGCCAGCTCCTCTCAGCCCTGCCCGAATGCAGCCTACACGCCCTGATGGGTGTCCGTGGAAACTCCTTGTGCAGCCCTGCCCTCCGCATACGTGTATGCCCTGGGCCTGCCTGCTTCCTTCTGCCGGCGGCCCTGTCCTCGCTGAGTGCCCTGGCTCCGACACTTTGCCTCGCAGGCGGGGCCCCAGAGGGTGTTCCTGGGCTAACCAGCTGCTCTCTGGCCATGAAGTGGGTGAGAGTCCTGGGTGGGGAGGGCTTGGTTACATACCAGAGCCAATCCTCGGGGCTCCCTGTCAGTGGGGGTTCATGTGCTCTCTGGACAGAGATGGCCTTGCGCCCTGTACAGTGACACAGTGGTCTGCTCTCTGGCACTGCAGTGGGCCCAGGTCTGCTCCAAGTCAGGCTGGGCCTGCCCCTCCTTGCCTTCTGGATGCCGGCTGCCTCCTTACCCTGGAAGCCTCTGCTGGGGGAGGAGAGCCAGCTTTCTGAATCCAGGATGGGCTGGGAGGATGGCCTCCAAACGTCCAAGGTGGCTGTCGGTGTCGTGGGAGCAGGCCAGGGCCATGCCCTGAGGCAGGAGCTGTGCATGGCCATGTGTCAGGGTTGGCGGTATTTGTGAAATGACCTGCAACATCACAGCAGGTCATGGAATTGTGGCACCAGGAGTCCCACATAGGAGGATTGTGTACTGAGACCATTGTTTGCTGCTAAGAGCTAAGAGCAAGGGACTGAATGTGTTTGCTGCTCGGGAGTTGGGTAGGATTAGTGTCATATAGCAGGGATAGCAAATAGGTTTCATCTTCTTTGCCAAACTTGACCTGAGGCTACCCCTGAAGCCTAGAGAAGAGTGCTGCAATTGATTACTGATGTCTGCCATGGGTGTGGAAATGGCCAGTGTTGGCTTTAGGGGCCAAGGATGGGCCAGCCCTGTTTAGAAACTGTTTAGACCTGGAGCTTAGGTGAAAGCAAGGCATGCTCGTGCACCTTGTGTGTGGAAAATGCTGACTTTCAATGACAGGCTATTTTACTTGTTCCTAAAATAATTGCCTTGGTAATTTTGAAGTTCAGATCAGATGCTTTCTGAATTATCCAGTTGTTTTCCTCCTCATCTTGTGACTCATGAGGGGTGAGGACAGGTTGCACCCCCTGTGGTGTGTCATTGGTATGCTGGAGGACAGCAAGAAAGCCCGGAATGTGCTAAGTCATGCTGAGGTAGTCGAGCCCAGCTGTGTCAGGCTGACCTTCGGTGCAGCCCACGTGAGCCCAGCCGCCTCCGAGGTGCCCGAGCCTGTGTACGGTGCTTTGGGTGATGGTTTAACTTTTGGTGCTTCCTTTCTCTGGTGCTAGTGGTCTGTCTTTCTGGTAGGAGTGGCAGGATTAAGAGTCAGAAGGGCCCTGGTGAGTGAGTGATGAGCTGATGACTAGGCTGGTTGGTAGAACACTCACCGAGGTTCAGTAGATCAAATGTCTGGTTTGGCACGACTTGGAGGTGCCTGGCCAGCTGTGGACAGCATTCCCTGGCCTGAGGTCAGCCATCTCCTCACCCAGCCCTGGCAGAGTGGCTGGTTGGCCGCAGCAGGAACTGTGGAGTGAGGTCTGGGGACTGGAGGTACCCTGGTCCGTGCGGCTGCTGCTTCCTTCTCTGGGGACCTCCCTCAGGCCCCTTGGGCTCATGCAAGGGGATCGGGATGCTCACCGTGACTTCAGGCCATCCCTCAGCAGAGCCAGGTCTCTGTTTCTTTAGGGCTGATGGCTGAGGGGAATGCTCTGGGGATTCCAAGAAAGGTCAATGGGAAGTATGGGGTTTTGTAGGGGTTTTGGTGGGCCCTCAGGGTTCTATGAGGATGTGGATCTCACTGAAACTATCGGAACCTCCCACACCTGTCCACTGGTCCATTCATCCATCCATTGATTCAGGTCATACCAGGCTCTGGGTGGGCACTGGAGACTTAGATGCATCAAAGATGATCCCTGTCCTTGAGGACTGAGCTCCCAGTCTAGTAACAAAGAAGACAGAAAATTATTAGAGTGGATTGGAGGATGTGTACGGTGATGGGAGTGTCTGTGTTGGGGTGTCAGGTTGGGCAAGGGAAAAACTGATCCATTGTTCTTGGAGGGTCAGGACTGGCTTCCAAGTGGGGGAGGTTGTAGGAAATGTCCAGGTGGATAAGATTGGTGAGGAGGAAGGCAGGCAGGCTCAGGAGACTCGGTGTGGACTAGCGTGGTGCCTCGGGCACCTGGAAGTGGAGTGTTTCTGGACGGGGCGTGGAGCAGGGCAGTGGCCAGAGGAGACTGAAGGCTTGAAGTAAGCCTTGAACCCCAGGCTACAGAGCTCGGGCTTTATCTTGGAGACTTGGAGGCCACTGATGACTTGTCAACAGGGAAGTGGCCGGATCCCATCTACATTTAAAAAAGATCCTTTGATGCTGTAAGGTGGATTAGGCAGCAAGGCCAGAAGGAGAAAGACCAGTTTCAAAGTCTAGAGGAGAAGTGGGGTAGGGGCTCCAGCATTGGTCCCGTGAGGTCCTGAGGCTTGGGTGGCTGGACTCTTGTGGTGCTGGGAGGTGGCCCAGCTCACGTGCTGGGGGACCCCGTGTTGCAGGTGGACACACACATCCACGCGGCTGCCTGCATGAACCAGAAGCACCTGCTGCGCTTCATCAAGCACACGTACCAGACGGAGCCCGACAGGACGGTGGCTGAGAAGCGGGGCCGGAAGATCACCCTGCGGCAGGTGTTCGACAGCCTGCACATGGACCCGTACGACCTCACTGTGGATTCGCTGGACGTCCACGCGGTGAGTGAGCTCCTGCCCTAGGGCCTCATTCAGTCCCAGCTGGGGACCCAGCTCCTGGGAAAGCAACCACGATCAGGCTTGGAGAGAGCCAGGTTGTGTAAGCAGCTCTTTCTCCTCCAGCCGTGGGACGGTGAGAGGTGGCTTGGCCTCAGGGAGTCTCAGGGCGGGGAGCAGCCCCGGGACAGGAGAAAAGGGTGTGTGACTTGGAGTCAGACAGGTCCCAGTTCTAATTCCATTTCTGCCCCTTAGGAGTTGTGTGCCCTTAAGCAACTCATTTAAGCTTTTATTTCCTTGCTTATAAAGTGGTAAATGCCACTTGCCTTATTGACATCACAGCTTTTAAAATACTAAATGATGGTGCAGCTGCTATAGAAAACAATATGGAGTTTCCTCAAATTCCGCTTCTAGGTACCTACCCAAAATAACTGAAAACAGGGACTAAAACAGATACTTGCAGATCAGTGCTTATAGCAGCCTTATTCACAGTGGACAGAAGGTGGAAGCAACCCAAGTGCCCATAAGCAGATGAATGAATAAACAAAATGCTGTGTATATACAATGGAATATTATTCAGCCCTAAAAAGGAATAAAGTACTGATACCTGCTACAACATGGATAAACCTTAAAAATCTTCTGCTAAATCAAAGAAGCCAGACACAAAAGGACAAACACTGTATGACTCCACTTGTATGAGGCGCCCAGAATAGGGAAACTCACAGACACAGAAAGGAGAATGGTGGTTACCAGAGCCTGGGTGGAAGGGATCATGGGAAGTTACTGTTTAATGCACAGAGTTTCCCTTTTACAAGATGAAAAGGGTTATGGAGATGGATGGTGGGGATAGTTGCACAACTTTGTGAATGTATTTCATATCACTGAACTGTACACTTAAAAATGGTTAAGATGGTTTTGTGTTATGTATATTTCTCCACAATAAAAAAAATCTTAAACCAGATACTGAATGAGGCAATGTAGAGAAAGTGCCTTGGGACACACATTATTACTGATGGCTCAGTATTCTGTGCTCACTCAGCCAGCCCTGCTCCTGGGAGCGCGAGGCCCGTTGATTCTCCCTTACAGAGAGCCTCCCAAAAGGACACCAGGGCTGACTGAGTGAGGGTGCATGGTCCTGGCTCCGGGACCTTCCAGTCTTTCATGTGAGAACTGACACAGAAGACATCTTTCCATGTGGCCATGTGTGAGGCCACCTTGTAAAGGCCCAGAGAGGGGGATGTGTGTGGTGGCTGCAGAACAACGTGGTGATCTGGCTGGTGCCTCCTCTCTCTAGGGCCGGCAGACATTCCACCGCTTTGACAAGTTCAACTCCAAATACAACCCTGTGGGGGCCAGCGAGCTGCGTGACCTGTACCTGAAAACTGAAAACTACCTGGGAGGAGAGTACTTTGCTCGGATGGTCAAGGCAAGTGAGCCCTGGGCTTCTCCAAGCCTCCTCGGATTCCTGGCAGCATCTGCCTTATAGGATGGGGGTCTTGCAGGGCCTCCTGTCCTCTTCCCCTCCCTGAATCCCTGTCCATCCATCCACCATACAGCTCAGGCAGGACGCAGGTGCCTTGTGCTGTGGCCCTGGCCACCGGCTTCCAAGTGGGCAGGCTGTGCTGTGTGCAGGCTGTACTGACTGCTGGCAAGAGGAGGGGTAGAGTGTCCAGCGCTGGCTGCTTTTGTGGCTTCCGGGCTCACTGCTCTGTGTGTTTGCAGCCTGCACAGGGTACAGGTTAGCCCTGTTCGGAGATACTTCTATTGGCTGGCCTGGCCAGGCATATGACTGTGCAGGCCCGAGGCCTTTCTTCCCAGGAAGGAGAGCGAGTGCTGACATGGCAGCAGTGGGGTACAGATCAGGCCTTCCGAGCCTGGGGGGCTGGAGGCTGAAGGAGCGGCCGGATCTGGCAGCTGGGGTACTCTGGGCTGACCGGCGCTCTTCTTGCTGCCAGGAGGTGGCCCGGGAGCTGGAGGAGAGCAAGTACCAGTACTCAGAGCCGCGGCTCTCCATCTATGGCCGCAGTCCCGAGGAGTGGCCCAGGCTGGCCCGCTGGTTCATCCAGCACAAGGTCTACTCACCCAACATGCGCTGGATCATCCAAGTGCCCCGGATCTAGTAAGTGAGGCATCCGCTGTCTGCCTGTGCCCTCTGGGGACGCCAGCTTGTCCCACAGGGGCTGCTGAGTCTGCTACAGAGTGGTAGGGCCTGTTCCAGGGCCAGCCTAAGCCTCTCCGCCCCAGGGATTTTCCTAGGGAGGGGTAGTTGGCAAAGATGTCCTTATGACACTTAAGTTCTTGTTCTTTGAAGAACATACATGTGCAAAGGACTGGTGGAAACTACTGCCCATCTTCTTCTCACTGGGGTTTGGGGATGAATTATCCTTTTGGGTGAGTCCTGGGGGTATGAGTGACCTGGCCGGGGCCTACATTGCTAGTTCGTCCCTGGATATGTCCTCTCCAGTCTGGCCAGTGTGGGGCCCCTGGGCAGGCTGGGACTTGTGGTTTAGAGGAACTGAGCCGAGTGTAGGGAGTTGGATCAGCCTGAATCCCAACTCCCCCCTCCCAGCATGGCCTCTGGCTGGAGAAAGCTCTCTTGCCAACCACTGCCGAGTGCTGCAGAGCCTGCTGGGAGCTGGAGAGGAGGGGGAGGATCTGCGTTGGAGCCCCATCTCTGACTCTACCCTGGGTGCTTAAATGGGGACCTGGGCTGCCTTAGGAAGGGGCTGGGGCTGGTCTCTGGCAGGCCAAGGGGGTTGTTGGGTCCACCTTAACTGGCGAGTCTTACTTTCCTCCAGTGACATATTTAGGTCCAAGAAGCTGCTGCCAAGCTTTGGAAAGATGCTGGAGAACATCTTCCTGCCCCTTTTTGAGGCTACCATCAACCCCCAAGATCACCGAGAGCTTCACCTCTTCCTCAAATATGTAAGTGTGGGTGGCGACCGGTGGGGTGGGAGGAGACGATTCCAGGCGTTTGGGTCAGGCTTCTGAGATCCTGTCACTCGTGTGCCCCAGGCGTGGGGTGGCCAGCCCCAGGAAGCTGAATTTCTAGAATAATGAGCTTGTTCCAGGAGGAGAAGGTCCCCCTCTCCTCAGGGGCAGCTGTGAGGACAGGACTGAGGAGTCGGTTCCTGACCAGGTTGGGGTGGAGGGACCAGGTCCTGCCCCAGCTGGCTGCAGCCTCAGGCCTTTAGAAACGCCCACGGCAGTCTCCAGCTCTTGCCTCACACCTTGTTTGCAGAAGTGCCCAAGCCCCGCAGGATAGATTTATCTGGTTAGTTGTGGGAGAGGGAGTGTGAGGGTGGAGGAGGGACTCCACCAGAAAGGGCGTCAGGGGGTGGGAGCTGGTCCCGCCCTCTGGGTGCCCAGAATAGAGGCGGCTGCAGAAGCAAGTTGAGTGCCGGGTGGAAACTGTGGGGATGGTTTCTGACAGGGAGGGAGGCAGGGAAGAACCCAGAGGGCTGGAGGAGGGAGGGGTGACTGGATGGGTGTGTTGGGGGAGGTCGGGACTGCCAGGAAAGCACTTGAACAGGCAGAGGGACATCATCAAATGTATGTTTTAGACACACTCCATGCAGGCTGTTTGGAAAAGAAGGCAGCTGGAGGTGAGGGCAATGGGGCAAGGTGAGAGTCAGGGAGCCTGTTCCAGCAATGGAGACCTGAGGGGGGCTTAGAAGAGCGGTAGCAGCTCCACATTTATTTGCTGCCTGCCCTGGTGATCTCCCTTGACAGTAGGGTCACAATGGCCCTGCTTCACATCATTTTGTCGGTGTTACTAGTAAGCAGAATAACCATGAGCTTGCCATGTGTCGGACTGTGGATTATCTGACTTACTCTTCACAACAGTCCTAGGAAGCGACCAGCTTCAATTTACACACACGAGGAAATTAAAACTGAGATCACAGAGCTAAATAGTGGCAGAACTGGAATTCATACCCAAGGGTTTGACTCCCCAGATGTCATTATCCCCCTGCGGTACTGCCTCCCATTAAGGAAGGGAGGGGTATACAGACAGTGGGAGGGACCGTGGGTAGTGTCACGGGCTTAGGTATAGAACTGATGGTACAAAGCCCAAAGGGGAGAGTCTGGGGGCCTCCTGGTGCCTGGCTCTGTGGGGAGTAGATGGTGTGCCTTTCAGATACCACTGCCAGCTGTGGGGGAGGAGCAGGCTTGGGGCGGAGGAGGAATTGGGGTTTGGACCTATTTTGTGCTTGAGGCCCGTAGGAAGTCCCAGTTTGAGGCCCTGCATGGGTTGGACACAGAGCTTAGTAGAGGGGCTGACGTTTCCCCTGTGCAGGCCCCGGGAGTTCAGGGGGAGCGTGGAGCTGGCGAGCACAGGGCAGGGCTCGAGGTCCTCCGGCCCTAGACCCGACCAGGCCATGCAGGGAGCTGC